CACCCACCACACACACACACCAGAGGGCAGTTTTTTCGCAGAAGCAGTTTCAGTGCAGAGGGATTCAATTGCAGCTCTAAGAACTGACAACAGCCTGGAATAGAGGAGGATGATAAATTAATAGCTGCAGAGGGAAAAGGGAGGGGGAGGGAGGGATGGCCTATAAGAGAGAAGAGAATACTGTATTATAATATGTGTGTTGTGTAGATGGCTGCAGAGAACCCCCAGAGGTATAGATTAATGGGGAACAAGTGGAAGACGGGGAAAGAAAAGGTGGAACATATTAATTTAGTCTCTAAGAGCTCCATATTTGTTCGCTGCTTGTATCAAACAACTTCAGCTTTGCTGCAAACACAAAATATCAACTTTCATCATTTTCAAACAGCAAATACTGAACATCTCCTCCTGATCAGTTTAATTTCGATAAACTCACTTTTATTGTGTCGGACCCCGCCGTCGTCTTCGCCTTTGTGAATCCGTGTTCGGCCCACTGGTTGCCAGGCTAAGCGCCTGGAGCCTAAAGGTCACGACGCATTTGACCCCAATTCCCCTAAAACATAGAACACAACAGAGATCAGTCAGCCAGCAGCAGAGGAACAAAGCTACACTATCAACCATGTTTCAGGCTGATCAATACACTGATCAATACACGATCAAAGCTCCCGAATCTCACAATATGGAAGATGATGAGCTGCTGTAAAAAAATATAAATCAAAAAGTCGTGATCCAATTTCGCTGTAACAGTTACATAAACAGTAGTTAAATATGTGTCCGCAGTCAGAGGAAGCTATTTTCAAAGCTGCCCGTGTTCCCATAGCGAAGAACACATGCGACTGTGTGCGGGCCTGTAACAGGTGGCCCTCTCTCTCTCTCTTCTCTCTCTCTCTCCGTTCTCTCTCTCTCTCTCTCTCTCTCCGTCTCTCCCTCTCTCTCTCTCTGCAGGGGTGTCAGTGGGTCCTCCGCACCCTCCCCCAAAATTGCAGAGGGGGGAGTCCGCCTTCTGGCACGAAAAAATGACCAACTTTCCCTGCGGCGCACGCCTTCTCTTGCTGGGTTCACGACATCGCTCGCATCAGGCCAAACACCGGACGATTACAACTTTCCGACCCACCCGCCTTCCGTCCTTCCCGATCTCTCTTGTCCTCTTCTTCCTCCGGTCTCTGGCTGTCTCTCTCTCTCTCCTCTCGCCTGGAAGTCTCCCTCCTCTCTTCCTCTCTCTAATCTCTCCTCTGTCTCTCTTCTTGTCTCTCTCCTCTCTTCTGTCTCTCTCTGTCCTGTCTCTCTCTTCTCCTCTCTCTGTTCATATCTTCCTCTCTCGTTCTCTCGTCTGTCTCTCTCTCTGTCTCTCTCTCTGTCTTTCTCCTGTCTCTGTCTCATCTCTCTGTCTCTGTCTCCCTCTCTGTCTTCTCTCTCTGTCTCCTCTGTCTCATGTCTCTCGTCTCTCTGTCTCTCCTGCCTCTGTCTCTGTCTCTCTGTCTCTGCTCTCTCTTCTTCTTGTCTCTCATCTCTGTCTCTCTGTCTCTGTCTTCTGCCTCTCTCTGTCTCTCTGTCTCTGTCTCTGTCTCTCTGTCCTCTGTCTCTGTCTCTCTGTCTCTGTTTGTGTGTGTGTGTGTGCAGGCTTTATGTGTGGCACGTGTCACTCGTCTGGTGTTGAAGTTCACGCCTGACTGCCATCGTGCACCTGCGTGCTATGCGACACTGTAACCTTGGCGACCGCTGCGTTCGTCTGAGGCGTCGTATCTCCTGCCGCGTGGCGTTTTCGCCTCCAGGTTTTTTTCTGCAGACGGTGGCCGAGACTCAGAGCTTTGTTTCACTTTCAGACACATTTTCCGAGTTCTCCATCTTTTGGACGTGCGGTGGGCGTCTCCTCGGATGGACGGCTGCAGCTCGTCCTTGGCGGCGTCTCTGTTGCCACCTTTAGTCAGCTGGCAGCGTCAGAAGTAACATCACAGCTTCACTGTTGGCCGCTGCCACGCTGGTTAGTGGGAACAACTTCTTGGCAACAAAACAAGGGATTTTCTCAGCAACTTTCACACATGATGAATAATGTTTCACTTCCTCCAGAGCTGCTTACATTTTATCTGTCTCTGCCGCACAATAATCACCATGTTCATACTTTTAATATGATAAATGTGGTTTGGAGGTGAACAGGTGACACGCAGCGGTAGAAAAAGAACAAACGTTACATCCGTATCCTCCACCGATAACAACTGTTTCCACCCGCGGCGATTTTTGTAAATCGCTGACAAATCACACCGTGTTGCACTCGTGAGGATCACACGTTAGGAATTGTTAAAATGTGATATTTCTTAAAGGGAGTATTGGTGCAGGGAGCTTTTAGTTGGTTCAACTGCATGATTATGGATCATTGTTAACGTTTAGTCTCCACTACAGAAACACGAGCTAACTGATAAAGTCTAAAAAACCACAAGGACGTTGTTAGTTATTAGTTTATTAATGCTTTAATAATGTGCGTATTGATTACTGACGCTGGCTGATCACACTACACTAAACAAACGGTAAAAACTGGCAGCTGTGGTTGTCAGAACTTTACTGTAATAAATACAGTTTTTCTACTATAATGGTAAAAGGATATAACTGGGATTTTAAAATTTAATCCATATTTTACCATATAAATAAGATTTTACCATCAAAAGAAACAGATTAGTCATATGATATATATTATATGAAGAGTGTGACGGTAGTTTTCTGTACAATTTACAGTCTGTAATATAAAAACCTTAAAATGTATAAATCCCTTTTAAAATGCAGCCTAGATAAATGTTTTGCCATCAGATATCTGCTACAGAAACTTTAATCTATTTAAAATTTAAGGTCTTTTCCTGTAATGGTTCGACAGTTTTTCACCGTAAAATCTATCTCAAATCGACATTTAAAAATATGTTTATCTCATTTTACTCAGTTTCTGGCAGCAGATAGAAAATATATTTCCCCCTGGGATTATTAAAGTATTTATGATTCTGATTATTTTTTTAATTAATCATTAATCATTTTGTATATAAAAAGTCAAACAAATGTTAAAACGTGTTGTAAGATTCAAAGGTGTCCTCGTCACTGCGGGTTAAACCCTCTGGAGGAATAAACTCCGCCAGCAGACGTTAAGAGCAGAGACGTGTGAAGAGTTTCACGATGAGCAGCCAAACAGCAGCGACTCCCTCACGAGACTCATTAAAGTTTGATCTGATCTGATATTTTCATTTTCTCAAGTTCACGACTGACTGTGTGTTTTTAAAAACCCCGTGTGATCGTTTCCTCTTCAAACAACCTCTCTGATTTCCTTCAGCCGTGTTTTCTTATTCTGAGATCTGATGGCGTCGGGTCACAGGCGGGTCAGCGTGACTTCTGACCTTTTTGAAATGTAAAATAAATAATAATTTTGCAGCTTGTTGTTTGTTAAAGCCGTGAGAGATGTTCTGACTTTAAACAAACACAGCGCAGTTAAAGAGAAAACAACAGAGAAAAGTGAACCTACCAAATGTTTTCCATCAGATTAATGTGGAATCATAGAAAACGAACATTAATCCAGATTATGACTGCCTGTCGGATCATTATCTGTGCCTGAGACTGCAGTTACATGCACACTTTCTACTGAAACCATGGGGATTGAAGAAGCCATGGAACGATATAATAATAATACTAATAATGTCAAGAAAATCCGATGACGATTGTCAAACGAGGGTTACTTGCTGTTGCTGGTTATTGGTATCTAGATGTGTTCAGCCAATTAGACAATTTACAGTTTAAATTACAACAACTTCCTGTTTCTTGGCGAAATATCGATATTTGGCGCCACGCCACGGACACGCACTTCAACGACAACTCAAGATTTTGATTATTTTTCATCCTGATGACCACTGAATTCAAAATGCCCGGCTTCCTGTTGAGTTTGGGGTGTGGGTCCGAGAGGCTTTTTCGTACGTCTGGCCCCGATATAGGCACATACCAATTTTCATACATATGTACGAGCACATAAAAAAATGTGCTTCTGAGATCAAATAGAAGAAAGAAGGGTCCTCGCAGCGGTCCGCACTTTATTATATTTCTAACATCGTGTCACGGGGGGCCGTTGGGAAGGAGATTCGAGGGCCGGAAATGGGCCCGGTGCCAGCAGTTTGAGATCCCTGATGTAAACAGTTACTGTGTGTTAAAATGTGCTCAGCTCCGGGTCTCTGTGTGTGTTTACTGCGTCCATGTGCGTAGGCGTCCATATGTGTATGTGCGGCGGTGTTTGGTGCCATGGGAACAGACATATGGTGACGATCACATGCTAGGAAGAAGGTCAGTCCCAAAGACGTGGAGGGAGGAGACGTGAAGCCGAGGCAGCAAAGAGGAGAAATTACAGTTTGTACAGTAAATAAAAGATGTAGATTTTATTTCTGTTAAATGAGTCTGAGCCCTCGGCGAGCTGCAGGACACACGAACGCCGCAGGGCCACGCGGATCCGCCGCGGGTCGAGCTGTTTATCGTCTGGAAATGTCACATGACCTTTAGTCATCATGCAAGACGGATGGCTTCTTCACCTTTATAGGACATTTCCAAGGTCCACAGAGACTGAAGTGAAAGTCAAATTATTGTGAGACATTTTGTGCTCGCAGTTATTAATCGTCTTTGTTTACATCTCGTTTAGAGCTGAAATAATCAGACAAATAAACCAACGAAAGCCTCCAGCGCTCCGGCTTCCAGAGTTTGGGACTGTTTGTCAGACAGAACCAGCAATGCGACGATGTGAGAATTTAATCCAGTGACACAGAATGTACTGTCTGACTAATTCAGCTCGTATATTATATTAAGTGACAATTTACAAAAAGGAACACATTAAAATAAATCACACACATTAAAAAATTGCAATGATGAAACACTTTGAATAAAACATTACTTACAAATTGCAACCAGGACCAAGGTTACACTCAAAACATCACCACAAGCAGATTCCAACTTACTCACATATAATATAAACATGAGGGGCCCAAAACGCTCTCGTGTGGGACTCCACATGTTAGAGGTTGACTTAAACATTAAAGTGTCACTACACCCAACTGCATCAGAGACCTGCAAAGGACAGAGACTGAAGACACAGACACTAACAGAGTACAGACACTCGCGCTGTCTGTAAAGGTTTCTGTTTGCTAAACTACAGTACGGTCATTTAATTCAGATTACAGCTCAGGAAACTCATTTTAGGGCGGAGTAGCTCTTTAATGACCTTGAAAACTCTCTATTGGTTTAATATGAAGCAACACTGATGAACACAGTTACTCATTAAATGTGACTCCTCCCCTCATGGTTAATGTTTTACCTTATAAGTTGTATGATGGTAGTCGGGTGGTCTCTGCTTCAGGCGGTGGAACAAACACGAGTCTTTTGTTTGGGTCTTTGTGACCTTTCCCTCAGTGCCTGTCTTCGGACAAATTATGAACTTTGTACACAAGACAAATAATGGCTGAGCTGCCGTGACCTTTACTACAAATATTAATGATTTTCAGAGGAGGAATTTATGTTTTATTTCACAACTTTTATTCTATGAAGAATCTTCAGGTCGTGTCGTTATGATGAGG